CCTTCTGGAGCATCAGTGAATGTTTGAATCTTTTTTAATAGTTGTATTTGAGTCCCTCAATCGTCCTCAGAGTGAAAAGATGGATCTCAAAATCATACAGTCACTGCTGGAAAGGGTTGAAATCTGCAGAAGATGCTGGAAAACTGAAGAATCTGCAGGAGCTGGAGGATTTTTCTGAGGAACAGAGCTCAGTTTAACTGTTCAGAACAAACAAGGGACTCATGAACAACCATCACAAAACAAACAAACAGTCATGGATCATCCAGGTGACACACACAGTACTAAGAACCAAGGGTTCCCAAACTTTTGAATGGGGTTATTTTATTAATTTCAGCTATTTATTTATTTATTTTTTGTGGACTAAATGTAAACCTTTTATGTAAAATATCTTACTCAGGACAGTACTAAATAAAAACTAACATGCATTTTGTATGATCTCTCTTATTTTGTTAAAAACACAGAGGATTTTTCTGAGGAACAGTGCTCAGTTTAACTGTTCAGAACAAACAAGGGACTCATGAACAACATCACAACACAAAAAAACAGTGGTGGATCATCCAGGTAACCACACACAGTATTAAGAACCAAGGGTTCCCAAACTTTTGAAGAGGGTTATTTTAATAAATTCAGCTATCGTTTTGTCTTGTGGACTATATGTAAACATCTTTTATGTAAAATATCTTACGCAGGACAGAACTAAATAAACAATAACATGCATTTTGTATGATCTCTCTTATTTTGTTACAATTATTCACATTTTCACAGATTCTGCCAGGGGTTCCCAAACTTTCGCATGCATGGCTGCAATATAACAAAGAGTGAAAAATTTAAGGGGGTCTGAATACTTTCCGTACCCTGTATATATATATATACACACACACATGGTTTGAAAATTAGTGAGGTCTGGGGTGGGGTTAAGAATTGTGCTATACTAACCCCACATACAACTCATTACACTAACACTTTAAAAGAGACAGACATGTAGATGTTTCTGAAATATGTTTTCTCTGTTTTGGAGGAATGAGCATTGTTAAATTAGATCATATTGCACTATTACTATAGGTTAGGGGTGTATAATTGTATCAGTTGTTTATTATTCATTCAACAATACATATACCAACAATACATACCTATTACAGTAATAAAAATATTATACTGTTAATAATACTGTTATAGTTTTCATTAATAACCATTGCTAGATGATAACTTTGTCTGGTGCTCTCATGAATGTTGTTAGCATGATTTTATGAAAATGTAACTACAATACTCAATGAAATAGCATAGAACAACATGGCTGTTTGCATTTTTTTTCTTTCATTTTGTAACTAGCCTACTTGTTCTACAGATCTCTGCACTGTTATATGCTATTTGATAGCGTTGATAAAGTTTCTGACAGATAATATGATGTTTTTTGATTGTTTGTTAGTTTATTTTTTTTTTTATGTATGTATTTATTATTCTTTTTTTTGTTGTTGTTTGCCTTACCGAATGTGGTATCCTGTCAGTAATAACATGTCCTTTGGCTCTTTTGATTACTGTCAGTTTAAGTTCTGGCGATCATTGCAGTGTTGCCAGATATTACTATGAAAACAAATAAAAACCGAAAAATAAATAATAAATAAACCGAAATGAGTTCAAATCTTTTGTAAAGAAAATAAGATAAGATCAACTTTCCGCTCTATTAACTTTCTAAAGTAGAAAAGACAAATCCAAAGACGCTTATAATAGCTGGATCTGGCAACACCGTGCTCACTCACCGTTCTCTCTATCCTCGTTCACTCCGCTATATATATATATATAGCCTAATATACAATACAAGTCTAATGCCACACTTTTGGCTTGCTCCCTTTGGGTTGTAAGGCATGCTACCATTCTTTGTAAAGATCCTTAGTTGGAACAATATGATACACACATACATTTAACTTAATAACCTTATTTACATTGAGACACAGAGACCACATTGTTTTACATTACACTTTCAAAATAAAAACATTTATTTGAAAATTTGCATTTTGCATATGACATCAGTGAAACAGTCTCTCCCCTTAAAACATCCAGATCTGTACCACGTGGTATTATCAATGTGTCACTTCACTCTTAGTAGTTAACTAACTTTTACTGAATTGCACAAAACAGTATTAGTAAATATTGTTTCAATATAAAATATTGATCTACTGTGCTACTTCCATTTGCTGCACTGTCTCCTCTACTAAATCCAGATTTATGGTTTGTTCTTTGACGATAGTAGTTGTTCCTTCTGGATATTTGTATTTCCCTTGCCTGTTGATTATAAAGATGGAACATTGTTAAGAATATTAATCTTCATTTACAACAGAGAGAGAAGGCAAGATAAGTTGAATTAGTGCAGCTTGTTACCTTTCACATTTGTAGTTTGAGCTCTCGAATGGTCGTATGTACTCTGTCCCATTCTTTCTAATGACACACAGGTCTACATTGCTTCCAGAGCCAAGATCATTCATGATTCCTGCACTTATTGCATCCCGAACCAGCAGTTTTGCATCCTCCTCCTGTGTCCACATACAGTTAAAAATTATTTATTTTTCCCGACATGGTAGGTATTTTTAGTTTTATTCAAATTTTTATTGACATTTATTTACACTGAATTCTGATTAAGTTATGGAGTTATTGTGGTTTTATGATTTATACACACACAACCTATATGCATAAACAGGATAACAAATCCAAATACACTTCAGCAACCTACAGTCATGTTGGGTCTGAAACAGTCTTCAAAAACAGCCAAAGCACCCTTTACAAGTGAGGTAAATGCACTTAATTGCAAAGCATTTTTTCTTTATGTTTCCACAAAACAAATATATAGTTAACTACAGAATATAACTGATTTTCTTTTAAGTTTATTCAAATTCAAGAATATATACCTTTTGTCTGAACATAGTATTAATGTCTATGAGTAATAGATACATGGTGAAATTAACATGAGATACCAACCCATTGTTGCAAATGGAGCTTTGTTGACAGAGCCATAGGGACCAACAGTAAAGATATGAGGTCCTGTGCAGTCGACTCCACCTAACAGCAGCATGGCACTGATTTGGCCCTTGTGCCTACATTTAAAAAGACAAAAATGAAGTCTTTTAGTGTTGTGCTGTCTCCAGTTTTTGATTATCAATTACGAGGCCCTGGTGATAGTTATTGATTCTCACTGGTATGATGGATATACATTTTGTTAAAAGACAACTTTTCTATGTAGTTCATTTTTATAAAGAAATCGTGTGCATTTATAATACTATAATTTTTGTTATCTTAAAGGGGTCATATGATGCTATTTTAAAGAT